AGCACATCCTATATATAATAATATTATCCAAAACAGTAGGAATATTAATCCAGCGAACTGAACCTCACCCATGTGAATCAAAGTAATATATACTATATATATCTGTCTGTTTAATATCTTACGGGTTAAGAGAACGCTTTAATTAACTGAGGCCTAGTTCATTTACGACGATCAGCATAAAATGAACTTCTTCTCTCTGGGATCCTGTTCAATACATAAATGTACTAGTGCAACTAATCAATCAAGACAAACTGTACAGTTGATACTACAACCGTTCAGATGGGGTGTTCATGTCCATCTAGGTTGTGAACAACTATTCTTTTTCGCAAGTGCCTGATAGAGTGATCTTCGGTTCATCCTGGATATACTCGCGTTCTGTTGTCCACTGGGTATTTGTGCCTGAACTCCAATGACGACCCATCCTATCTAAGTGCAGAACAACAGAACGTAGAACTTGTTTAATCTAACATGATTCTCATTCATAAAAGGGCAAATGTGTAATAACATGCAAAACCAATCTTTCAGTATATAACACTAACATGGGCTACAAGTCTTGCCTTGTACCTGGAGATGGTACCATCAGAATTCCTTTTTAGCTTGAATATCCACCTACATCCCACTATGTTTTTATTAACAGGAGAATTTGTAAGAGTCCAGGTGTTGTTGTTAACAAGGGTATTCAACTCATCTGTCATAGCCTTTTTCCAATGAGATGACTGCAAAGCTTCATCAACAGATATTAGTTCTCTTTCCTCAATGGATACCATAAGGACTCTTGGCTTGTAAATGCCTGCTTTTCCTCTGGTGATCATATGATGCTGATTAGAGACTCTTGAAGATGTTGAGACATGGTCTGGAGATTTGTTCAACTCAATAGGTAGTTCTACAGCCAAGGGTATAGTGCTATGGGTAGATTGGCTATTCATTGATCGGGGAGTGTGTAAGGCTGTATTAGGAGAATGGTTAGGTGTAGAGTTTTGAGTGGCTTGAGTTGTATTTGTATCAGATTGATTTCTGGTGTGAAATGGAGATTGGTTTGGAATTATAGGAGGTAAGTTAACACAATGAGTTTGAAGATCATTAAGGTTATATGGTTTTTCACTTGTTTCCTTGGCATAAGGATATTCATTCTCATTAAAAAGAACATGCCTAGATATGATGATTTTTCTTGAAGGCAAGAGGATTTTATATCCTTTGTGAGAATTACTGAAACCTATAAAGGTTCCACCAATGGACCTTGGCTCTAGTTTGTGTTTATTAAATGGTCTTAACAAAGGGTATGCTAAACACCCAAAGGTTTTGAATCTACTGTAATCAGGTTGGTGATTGTACAAGACCTCCAAGGGACATGTAACATTAAGTGAAAAAAGCATCATCCCAAAATTTTAAAGGTAAAGAAGACTGAAGAAGAAGAGATAACCCCATTTCAGTGAGGTGTCTATGTTTTCTTTCAGCTGTTCCATTTTGTTGAGGTGTATGAGGACAAGAGATTCTATGTGTGATGCCATTGTTTTGAAGAAAAGATGTAAGGGATCTGAATTCACCTCCCCAATCACTCTGAAGAGTTTTGATTTTATGTCCAAACTGTGTTTCAGTCATGGCTTTAAAATGGAGGAAAACATCATGGACTTCTGATTTCAATTTCAAAAAATATATCCAAGCGAATTTTGTGTATTGGTCAACAAAAATGACATAGTAGGAATGTCCATTTCTAGACTTAATGGGAGAAGGACCCCATAAGTCTGAGTGGATTAACTCAAGAGGAGCATTGCATTGTGTTTTTGAGTCAGTGAAAGGCAATTTATGAATCTTAAAAACAGCACACACAGAAAATAAGGCATTATCTTTATTATCATCAAAAGGCCGATTACATGATTTTAAAACTTTCTTGACTACATCATTTTACAATGGCCTAGCCTTTTGTGCCATAAGTCTAAAACAGACTGATTCTTGAAACTACTAAAATAAACTGAAGGTTGAGGCAGAAAATTGTTGTTGTTTTTGGTTGGCTGAGAAGTTGTGTTTGATAGTTGAAACTGGTATAATCCTTAATTAAGTTCCCCTCGGAGTAGTGCTTCCTGAGTTACATGATCCTTCACAAAACAATGAAAAGGGTGAAATTCAAAGTAAACATTATTATCTGAGGCAAATTTTGGCACACTCAACAAATTTTTGGTGACACTGGGAACATGCAACAAATCTTTTAACAAGAAAATTCTATTGGATTGATGGTTTCAAAGGTGAGATTTACCGATATGAGTGATACTTTCTCCAGAACCATTTCCCATGTGCAGCTTGTTATCATCATTGTACTCACTTGACACACTGAGATTTGCAAAATCATTGGTGACATGATTTGTTGCACCACTGTCAGGATACCACTCATTTCTTTCACTTGAGGTTTCAGAAGAAGTGAAGTGTTGAGTGTGCATCATGTTGGCAGATGGACTGTTAAATGCTCTTGAAGAGTTTTCAGGTGTACTGCCCATGTAACCACTATCATATCTATACCAACATCTCTCAACTGTGTGTCCATTCACTCCACAAACTTGACACTGAATTTTTTATCTTGAAAACCTGCCTCCTCTTCCTCTATATTTCCTCTTCCACCTCTGCCCCTGAAGTTTTGGTTGAAGGGAGCTCTTGCACCTCTGTTACTTGGTTGGAAGTTTCTTGTGAAATCATGAGTAGTGACAACATTTGCCATAGGATATGAACCATCAGAGCTAACATGAGGGGTGCTAAGGCCAACAGATTCTAGTCTGGAATCAAAACTGAGAAGTAAGGCTTGCAAATCTATTATGGTCCATGGTTCAACTCTTGAAGTCACAATCACCATGATCGGGTTATACTCTTGCCCAATACCACTAATAAGATGCATGATTTGATCTTTTTCAGAGACTAGGTGACCAGCAGCAGCTAAAGCATCAAAAAGGGATTTCATCTTGCTTATGTACTCTTTCATGCTTAAAGACCTTTTTTAAACTTTGGACCTCCATTTTATACTGCATTATTCTAGCCAAAGATTGACTACTGAAATTCTTAAGCAGGGCAGACCAGATTTCTTGAGAAGAGTTGAGACGAACCATAAGAGGAAGAATACTGGTACCTAGAGATGAAAGAATCCAGGATGCAAGGAGATGATCTTGTCTTTGCCAAGAAGTAAAGTCTGGATTCTCAGTGATTTTCCCAGTGGTGTTTGCAGCTAGGAATCTTGAAGGTGGTTGGCTCGTGCCTTGAATGAATCCTTCCAGGACATATCTTTTAATGGCCATCTTAACTTGCTGTTTCCACACAAGGAAATTTCCATCATCAAGTTTTACTGTTACCAGTTGGTTGTTTGGTGAGATGAGTTGAAGGGAACTTGAGTTCCCTATGTTCATGGTGGAACTCGATTCTGACCTTTTTTTTTTTTTTTTTTNCATTTTTTATTTTTTTTTATAGAGAAAACAAAAGAAAAGGATGGATGGATCAGAAACAGGAATAAACCTGCTCTGATACCATGTTAAAAATCATGGTGAAGACAAATAAAAGATGAACCAAAAAATTATGAACTCCATCTTCTTCATTGATTCAAATGTGACGGCTCAATACAATGAATAATCACGTCTCTAAAACCCTAGCAGACTGATATTTAAGCTAAGGGAAAAATGAACTATCTAGAATGAGGACACATGTTCTAATCTAAAGGAAAAAGACAAGATAAAAAGATGCTCATCTAATGGTGCAAAATGTAGCTAAGCCATAGCTGTCAATTGGGGCCTTGATAGCTGAGTCATGCAACGTGACAAAATGTTGGGAGCATGCACAGCTCGTGGAGTGAGGATGTAGTGAAGCTGCATTTACTTCATGCAGTAACTCTTGACTTTTACCATGCTTCTTTAATAATTCTAACAATAGGCATATATTTTATATATTTATTCACAAATTGAATTATATTAAAAAAAAATAATATCCGACCATATATGCTTCAATTCAGGTCTTATTCATTCTCCATACCAAACACATCAATGAAAAAACTTGTTTACTTCATTTCCTTAATCATTTCATTCTCCAACTCATTTCATTTCTATCAAATTTCATTGTAGTATACCAATCATGCCATAAGTCGTTATTTCATTACTAGTACTACACTAGTGCTTCAAATATAAGTATAATTTTTAAAAATAAGTATTTTTATGGTAAAATTTAAAGAATTAAAAAAATTTATATATATTCATAATGTGAAATTATACTAAATGAATATATAAGAAAACGTAAATAACTGAAAGTGTTGTACTTATTAAAGTGGCACGAGTGTTTTGCACTAAATTTATGAATAATAATAATAATAATTATTTTAATTGTACATACAAAATAAATAAATAATTATATATATCTTTAAACAAAATTATTTAAATTAATTAAACTACAAAGTTGTGAAATGATATAATTTAATAAAATTATTATAATATAGATGATAATCCGTATAAGTGATATGCGTTATTTTAAATATAAATAGTAATATAGTTATCCAAAAAAGTATTTAAAAATTAAAATATTTTTTTTTATTATTTTTAATTTTAAATATAATTTTTTCAACAAACATCCATGTTATACACGGATATTGTACTACTTAATTAATAATGAATGATAGAGAACTCCATATTTTTGGAATGTTTCATATTTGGCAGACAGACACTCATACACATCCCAAACCATCAGAAGCAATATTAAACCAAAGAAATGAAAATTTCATGCCTAAATTGTAGATTCATCAACTATGGATGCACACTCATAAATCAACTCTTAAGCACAAAAATCTCACTCATACTTTTCTCACCCCACTTATAAACACAACCTTACTCTTACAAGTTACAACATCTACCAACCGCATGGAAATAAACCTTTAAAGCCATCCACTCACAACAGTAGACCTATAAAAACACACATCCCACTCTAAGCTAAAACCTGCAAAAACCCATCATTGCTNNNTTATAATCTTTCCCCTCATTTGAACCATGGTGAAAACGACAATCTCCTTAACAGCCCAAGATATTATCAAAGAAAACCCAATCACACTCTACTCCCCACAAAACCCGACCCCGACCCAGACGATATTCTTGTCCAACATCGACTTGGCCGTGACTTTCCCAGTCGAGACCGTCTTTTTCTACGAGGCTCCGCCAAATGGGGCCCACGGATCAACAGCCGATGTTGCCCGGAGGCTGAAGAGGGCAGTTGAAGAAGTGCTTTTGGTGCCTTACTATTTCATGGCCGGCCGGCTCAGCTTCAACGACGAGAGCAAGAGGGTCGAGCTCGTGTGCAACAATGCCGGGGCCCTGTTTGTGAGCGCAAAAACGGGACTTTCGCTCGAGGATCTCGGTTGTCTTTCCCAGCCGAACCCGACTTTTCACCAGTTTGTTCATCGGCCGGGGTTGTATAAAAGCCTTGCGGAAACTGCAGTTTTCACTATTCAGGCAAGCGGATTTCATTCTTGTTGACTATTGATCATAATCAGTTTCATGACTTCTTATATACTTGGTGAAGTGTTTGCAATACTTGGAAAAAAGAAATCATCGTTAGTTTTTGGTTAATTTTATAAAATAGTGCAATACTTATGTACTACACGGGTGGTTCATACAATAATTTCGTGTACAACATAAAATGAAAAAAAAAAAATGTTTATATATTTTGTTGAAGTTAGACAAATAAATAAGGAACAATATATAATAATTTATAATAAAAAATTAAGTGACGTAACAATACTATTTTAAATTCTAAAAGCTAATTTATATACATCGTTAATTTTATATATAATATCTTTGTCTAAAATAAAAAAGATAATGAAATAATATGGACAAATCACAAATTTTAGAAAGTAAAATTATATGTACATTATAGAAAAAAAATAATAAATTGATTTGTATAGAATAATTTAAATATAATAAATATGTGCATATATATATATATATGACAATCCCAACCTAAATCTTTTAGTATAAGAAAATAGTAATTCTTATTTGAGTCATAATAAAATAAAATAAACGATCAAATTCAATTCAAGATACCACTATATATACCAACTTGCGATTAATCAATGATATGCATATAACTCCAACTATATATACCAACTTGTGATTTCAATTGCTTTTCGGCTTCCATAACAAAAAATTATAAATAAAGTATATCAATATTTATTTAACTTTTCAACCCAAGACTCGTCAATTAATTAACTCCGACAGGTGACCATGTTCCGGTGCGGCGGGTTCGCCCTCGGTTTCTCCACGAACCACGCCATCCTCGACGGCAAGTCGGCCGCCCAAATGTTCCTCAATCTCGGTTCCGCCGCCCGTGGCCACGGCCTCCTGACCCCCCACATAAACCCTGACCGCACGCAATTCAAAGCACGCTCCCCACCCCAAATCCACTTCCCCCACCACGAGTACTCCTCATCAGCCCCGACCAAAACCACTTCCTTCACCTCCCGACACTGTACCTCCCCCATACTCGTCTTCTCCAACAATAACAATTACACCCACAAAGTCTTCCCCTTCCCCCCACAAACCCTAGCAACCCTCAAATCCAAGGCTGGGCCCGGAAAAAGCTCGACTTTCGACGTGCTCCTCGCCCACATCTGGCGAGCCCGCACAAGAGCAATGATGATGATGTCAGACGACGATGATGATGATGAGGAGATCACTACTGTTCTTTTCGCGGTTGACGTGCGGGAGAAAGTGGGCCCGCCGCCACTCGGGGATGATTTTGTCGGAAATGCGGTGATTACGGGTTTTGCTATGGCGGGAGCGCGGGATTTGGTGAAGGGGGGTTTGGGGTTCGGAGTTGGGGTGGTGAGGGAAGGGAGGGAGAGGGTGACGGGGGAGTACGTGGGGTCGGTGGTGGACTGGCTGGAGGTGTACGGAGGGGTGCCTAAAGGAGGGTTTTATGTGTCCGCGTGGCATAGGCTGGGGTTTGNAAATCAGGCGTTAAAAAGTTACTTTTTTTTTTTCTTACTATGACCAGTTAATAATATTTATTTATTTTGATTGAAGACGATGTCGGCTTCCAAAAGTACTGGTCCTTGCGCCTACCCGGGAGATGGCTAAGCAAGTTGAGAAAGAATTTAAAGAGCAGTGAATTTCTTTTTTAGCCATGTACAAATGGCTAATACAAATTTTAGTCATGTTTTGCAAAAAACACTTTTTTAGCCATTTTGGGATCTGAAAAGACCAAAATATCCTTACTACCTATTTTTACAAAAAAAAAAAAGCATAACAGAAACGATTTCTGGGACTAGAAATCGATTTCCGGTCCCAAAAATTGATTTCTGGTCCCATAAATGGTTTCTGGTCCAAGAAATACCAGAAATCCAATAAATGGTTTCTGGTTCCAAAAATCGATTTTCGGTCTCGGAAATCGATTTCTGAAACCAAAAATCGATTTCTGATCCCAGAAATTCAAGAAATTATTTCGGTCCCAGGAATCCCAGAAACGATTTCTGGGTTGTTTATGGACTCTAGAAATCCCCTAAATTCCAAAAACAACTTTTTGAATTATTTTTAGATCCCATAATGATTTCTTGTCAAGAAATCGATCCCAAAAAATGATTCTGGTTCAAATTTTATTTGTTTTATTATATAAGACATTGGATCATATATAAGACTGTTTTTTTTGACATTATTTGTCACTAAAATACTTGTGTATCTTATTGTATAGATGTCGTGTGAAAATGTTCGAATTGTGCATAGTTGATTTTGGGATGAGAATGTCTATAAAAATGGACAGACAGAGATGAACTTTATGCGTTTGAGGAGTTTGTCGTATGAAAACTTTTTAAATAGAGTTCATGACATTGTTTGTGATACACGTGTGAGTATCGATTTCACTTCTCGATAGCCAATGAATAGGAAGAGTTGGAAAAATGGAAAATTTCTTGTGAATATGACTTGCTCAATTTGGTCGAATTGTTCCAAATTGCTTGCACATTGTTATTATATGAGGGAGGTTGTACGAAAGAGTTAAAGGTCAACCTCATTATTTGGTAAATAATTTGTTTGTGGATGACACGATACGTGTCTGTGTCTTCCTCTCACTCACCTTACAAAATCGTATAAATATTTGTATGATATTTTTTTTCCAAATTTTAATGATATATAAATCTCAACTCACCATATACAGATAATCGCCACCAGTGTCCGTGTAAGCAAACAATGTGACAAAATTGTAGATATATCGATGCAGCGATCATTAAGCTTCACGTAGGTTGTTGTCATATATTAATGTTATTAACCATATTTGGCTCTAACATGCAGATAACAAATTAGGCAAACCCCAAATGTGCAACGTTTAGATATAAGATATCACTAGGTATAAAATAAACAAATACAACAGGGCCAAAATCCAAATGTATATCATCTATCCGATCCACCACACATTTAATTTAGAACAAGAGATGAGGCTTCTTATGACTGTACAGGTTTCATGGCTGAGATCATCATAAACAGTCTATTTCTGAAGCAAGTGAAGTTCACAAATCCGCTAGACGTACACAGACCCTCGAGTTCTGCCTCGCTTAAAAATACACGACTGCCTGACACTTGTGCAACACTCTGCACCCAAAATAACTAATTAATCAAACTATTACTGATAATAGGAGCAAACCATCAATTAAGACAACATTTTTGTCGACCTAAATTAAGAATGCTTTGGGGTTTCGATAAATACCTGACGCATAGGGGCACGTAGCGAAATATATGAAAGGGGACCGTATACTATGTACGTTGTGGCAACAAATATCCCTCCAGGTTCCAAAATACGGCTTATTTCTGCAACCTATTAAATCGTAAATAAAAAATATGACGAGTGATTATAATAAATTAGCACAAATGTACAAATCTGAAATTTAACAGGCAGATGCCCCTGCTTCCTTCTTTCATTTTTTCTTTTCCAATTTTATATCTAGTCGATACTTTATTTTCACTTAATTACTAGTTCGAGTGATAGGACGAATAGTGGGAACGGTAGTGGGTACCCAATAGAAAGTACCTCAGCTCAAGTAATTGTACATCTTTGTAACCTGCAAAAAGGGAAATAAATGAAACAACTGCAGATGAACTAATTGACAATTGATTTCATGACATAGAATTTTGAGGCAATGGCTATTTTACCTCGCGAATAGTGAAAAAGTTTCCCAGGGACTTGGACATTTTTTCGTCATTCCGTGACAAAACCGTTATGCATCCAGGGAATTCTCTTAAAATATCTCAGGGTTTTTGTGCATTCACTGCCACGTTAGCCAACATCACCTCACCTTATCATCGACATCAGTAAAGTTACAGACGTAAACAACGTCGTAGCCCAAATGCTTCAAATATCTACAGCATTATATTTCAAAAAATATATTTCAGGCAAAAATTAAAGCAATAAAATAAGTTGTTTTTTTGTAAATACACTAAAGCAATGAAAGACATTTCGAATTATACTTTAGCAAATATGGTCCGTCACTAACTTAATTATGTTCTGCAGTATCAACAAGAATCTTGCCATAAACATAATATGAGAACATTTAAAAGAAAAGCTGTAATTCCGACAACAAGCCCTGAAGCTACCGGCTATTATCCAAATATAAACGCCTCTAGCTACTCTTAATAAAAAAAGGGCCAAAACAAAGGCTGCAGATTACTTTACGTTAAGTTCACTCAAGTTCAACCACCACAAAGTTCACCGCTAATTATTGTCAAAATATGATTCACTATGAACAATCTGTTCAGAAAAATCTCATCTTCCAATTTGATACATACATTTAGGATTACCTAATGAAAACTTCCACATCTTACTCTAAACTCGGCAGGCTTACCACTTAACTGGCAAATTCATAGTCTTACAGATTCCCAAAAAAATGACTTTAGGGCACAATTAAAAATTCTAAATAAATTGTATCAGCCCATTAAACTTCCAAGCTTCAAGATGCTCCACTACACCAGAGGCTGCCAGTTATGAGGCTACAAACAAATAGAAATTCAGGAATACAAAGATACAGACAGATTTACAACTTATTAAAAACAGCATTGACTAAAATTCAATCTTTCAAAGCACCATAAACCATTTTCAGCAGGTAAAAAAAACACCAAAATGAAATAAAAAAAGGAAAGGACTTAATCAAGATAGCAAATCACAAGTCCAAAAACAAACACCACTCAAACAGCAAGTGCACATGTGATTATATCTGATGATTGTGAATTATGCATTTGACCATATTTTCACACTTTGCATGTGGTTAGTTCTATTAATTAGACTGTCAACGAAAGAGCACATGTAAACAACAAAAGGAAGCATCTTTGATGGAAATAACTAAAATGAGAATAAGGTTCTCCATATGCTCACACATGAAACACATCCTGAATAGTAATTCAGTGCATAACTCTTTTGAATTTAGCAATTAAACTTCTTCATTGGTTTCTTTCCTTCGCATTATTTTCTAAAAGGTAATATAGGTTTTTTCACCAACTTGAACTAAAATCTACAAAGAATTTTCAAACCCTTCAGCCATATTGCTGCTGATAGATTCGAACGCCATGTCGAAAATTCAAGTTCCTAGATTTCTAGAAATATTATCAGTAAAAAGCGAGCTACAGAGATCATCCCTACCAATTATCCTCACACAAAATACACAGATCTAATAAATCAAGGCTTTCAAAGATTACATCGGCATCCCCATCTCCACCTTTCCCCCTCAGCACCCACGCCCTCACCCACGACCCCAACCCTCGGCTCGTGTTGACGTTGCTCATCAATAACCTCAATTCCCCCGTAAACGAAAAAAAAAAAGATTAAACAAAGACCTTTATTCCTTACAGCCTAAAGATTATTATTAGATGGGGATGCCGCTGTACATCTAAAGAAAATCAGATTAAACAAAAAACCTTTGTACATCTAGAAAACTTGTCATCCAAAAGTCACCTTTTCCAAATATCTTTCGTGAAACTACAAACTTCGGTAGAAATACAACTAAATCAACTATTTACCTCGGTTGTTGATCCCTTCTTTGTCGGATTTTAGAGGGTGTCTCGCCAAAGTCCCAAATCTATAATACTCTTTGTCCGTCCAAGTACCCTTTGGGTGTGTTTGGTTCAAAGGAGGGGAAGGGAGGGGAGCAATTTTAATGGAGGGAAAGGAAGGGGAGGAGAGGTGATGTAAAATAATTTTACCTTGTTTGGATGGATTATTTAGGAGGGGAAGAGAAAGAAAATGGTAAACCTTGTTTTGTTAAAAACTTAAAAGAAGGAAAAATAAAATTAAAATGACAAATTTGCCCTTAATGAAATAAGATAAAAAATTAAAAACAATTGAAAGTAGGGACAAAATAGTATTTTGACATCAACTTATTACATTTCCCCTCCAAATCCCTCCAATTTTGGAGGGGAGGGAAAGTAAGGGAGGGAAGGGAAAATTACTTAAAATTTTCCTCTTCCTCCCCTCCTAATTTTCCAACCAAACAAAAGAAAAATAAAATTTTCCCTCCCCTTCCCTCCACTCCCCTCCAAATCCCTCAAACCAAACAATACCTTTGTTCGAACAGAAAATATAAGGGTCAGGAACCCTAATTCGAACAATAAAAATCCTAATTCGAACCAAAAAAGAGAGAGAAGTTGAATGTAGTACCTGATTTCATAGGCCGGAGCAGCTGCGGGGTTGCCGGCGTGGTCGATTCACCGGAGAAGATGGGATTGCCGGCGAGGAGCTGCGGAGCGGTCGATTTTTTGCCCGTGAGGAGCTGCGGAGCGGTCGAATTCAGATAAGAACGGCGCTGCCCGGAGGAATGGTCGAATTCGGAGAAGAATGGCGATTGTGAGAAGAACGCGATTGTAGTCGATGTTTTTTTTTTTTCTTTCACGATT